GAGCATATTTGGGAAATCCCTCAAGGTTTCGAGGATAATCGTAACAAAAAGAAAGTGCAAAAATAAATAGAGGATTAAGCAATATTTTGCAAGATTGTAAAGTTTACCACCTGCGTAAAATAAATATCTAAACAAATATGTAAAAGCGAAATTTAAGTCTGTAAGTAGCAATTTAGAGAATTCAATTCATCTTGTCTCGTAATTAAATTTACTATGCCAACGCATGTATGTATGGTATGTGTGTATGTATGTATGTATATTGCAGTTTGGGTTTCAGCAAATAAGAATTTATGTTAAATATTTGGCAATTACTTTGCATTGCGCAAACAATTTCGCGTATTTTTCAGTACATTAAAAACACAAATATGTAGTTACACATTTTATACTGTTACAATAATTGATTTGATAGTTGACGTAGAATAATTCATCCTTGAATGTGAATGGCCTTTACTGACTGAAAGTGAATTTAACGATGTTATAATAATACATACATATGTAAATAGCTTTTGACGATCCACTCGGCCCAAGAATCCATGATGCATATGCCCCTAGAAAGCGTCGTCCTGTTATAAGAGCGTATGCTGGTGTTGCTGGAGTGACAGCCCTAAGCCAGATATATGCGTCGTTCCGCTTATGTAGACCCGACGACTATCGTGGGAACGTCGTCCTAATTTCGTTTAACTAATTCATATTTACACAAGGTATATATTAAGGTAAATTGTATGTACGCTTATATTAGCATTTCACCGATGAGTTTATAATGCTTCCGGATAGCGGTATCCTCATTTTATTTTCTCACTGTAAATGTGGTCACACATGCACCTAATATTTCACGGTTAGAAAATAGCGAGTCATACAGACGTTTACTCTGTTGATGATAGTGGCCATAGACAGGTTGAGGACTTTGGTTATATAGTCCACTCCCACAGGACCCAAATTTTTCGGCATCAGCATGCAAATTCCGTCGGGCCCCATGCCTTTGGAGGCTTTCGCTTTCCCGATGGCTACCTTTACTTCACCGCTGGTGAAAACAAGAGGCACACTTGTTGTTGGCTGTTTGTGCAGGCTTCTGGTCACTCGACGTTTGCCTTTGTCCCCCAGAGGATGCAATATGAACTGTCAGCTAAAATAGCTCGTGCATCGCTCCGGGTCCGAAGCGTGGTCGTCAAAAGATATTTCAACTTTGTCGTCACGCTTCGTCGTATTGGACAATGACCTCACGGTCATTCAGATGCTCTTCCAAATTCTCCCGCTTATGTATGTATGTATGAGATATCTGAGAAAGACGAATGCTGTCACGCTCTTCATCATGGATAGCCGCTTCAGCGAGAAAATTCGGACGGGCATCCGAAATGCATCCTGCTGGAATAAATCGGGCTGCAGTAGCAGGGACAACGCTGCGGAATTTACGCTCACCTACATGAACGTCGGTTGGAGTGAATAGGGCAGTGAAGGTGCTTTCAGTAACTTCCGCGAAGCCTTTCCAATCAACTTAAGTCGTTGCTATCCTTTTCTGCAAGACTAATGTTTACCTATTTAATGCATATCATATATTGTCCTCAAGCTCAACTAACGGCTGGACCAGGAAACAAGCTGCTTCGAAGGTGTTGGACCAAAGAGAGGAGTGTTATCTGACTGGGATTGAGAAGAAAATTTAAGATGTAGTTGGTGTCGTGTATGGACTTTCACAAAATGTTCCTAAAAGCATGCATAACAAATTACATTAGCAGTACATCGACCCCTAATTGCGATTTTATCGTATGCGAGAAAAGGTAAATTTTACAAGGAGGTTTTATTTAATTATTTCTTAAACAGTGTAAAAATTTATTTGGATTTAAATTAACAACAACGTTATCGAATGCTAGCTTTCTAATAGGACTATATATTTTCTTCATAGCTTATTTTCTTAAGGTAAATTGGCGCCTACGATATTTTTCCTGACGTTCTGAAAGGAAAGTTATCAAAGAATTGGCACTTGCGATAGTTTTTTTTTGTTGTATAATGTGGTCATCAGCCAATCAGCAGAATAAGCTCGCTTTTAACTGTTCGGTGCAGCTACTGGATTGTCCACAAGTTTTCTTCGTGGATGCAGTGTTAAAGCTTATTCAATTCTCTAACAAATTAACAGCCTTATTCTGTATCACGAACGATAGGCAATACGAACGATTCGTCTGCAAAGGAATACTTCAAAAATTAATCTGGCGGCATAATTCTAGCCGGTTTAAACGCAACCGAGACCATTGCAACGTAATATATGAAAAGCAAGACGAAGACGACCGAAAGAGTCGGGGTTTTAACCGACCAAGGGCTGTTGTTTCGGCTACCTAGCCCCGCTTAGATAGGCGATACCCCTCAATCATTGTTCGTCCATGGAGCAACTCTTGCAGCCGGATTGCTCCGCATCCTTCTCCGGGCGGGCGTAGAGCCCAACCCCGGACCAGAAACGTATTTCTGCTGTTTTTGCCAGAATCGACTCCATCCAAACTCCACTTAGGTTAGGTGCAATTCATGCAACGGATGAAGTCACCTAAGAACCTGCTCTGGTCTTAGGTCTCATCGGGAGTGGACCACAAGCTATGTGGCTCCCTGCTGCTCAAGCCAAACGGCACAATCAGCCTCCACGGCTACCCGCTCGCGCAACGCACCCAACACCCGAAGAGCCTGCACGGCTCCGAGAAGCTCCTCTGGGCAGCAGCAAACCTCCCAACCCAATCGCGACTAGCCTCCCAAGGCATACGAAACTCCTACAACTCAACTGCAACGAACTCCAGAGAAAGATTGAGGGGATAGTAGTCTTTATGGGTCGGCATGGCATATTGATAGCTGCGGTCCAAGAAGCGTAGTTGCACAGCAACTCAACTCTATTAGGTTGCGCCGCCCACAATGTGCTCCGTAAAGATCGCGAGCGAGATAATGGTGGCGGACTAGCGTTCATCCTACACCGCACAGTGCAGTATCGGCTTATCGAAGAAGACATCGACCCGAGGGACACCACCCTAGAATGTCAGGGCAAAGCTGTTCGGTCAGGCGATGTCGATCTCGAAATATTCAACGTCTATATACCCCCTGTCACCTGCTGCCCGGCAGGATATCACCCTGACATAGGTGCGCTACTCAGAGGTGAAAACCGAATGGTAGTAGGTGACTTCAACGCGCACCACGATCTCTGGCACTCAAGCCTGGCCAATGATCGTAGGGGAAACCTTTTGACTGAGCAGATAGACGATTCGACATTCTGCACAATGAACGACGACGCCCCCACCAGGATTATGGGTAGCTGCAGCAGCTCGCCAGACCTCACTATTACTAGCGCTGGTTTGATCAATAGCATTTCATGGCGACCTATGCTAACACTAGCATCAGACCATCTGCCCATAATCAGCTCGATCAATAAGCCCACCGACTTTGCTCCCGCGGACCACCGAACCTACACCAACTTCAACAAAGCTGATTGGGACGGCTTCGCGGAAGTCACCGAGAGCAGCTTTGCCGCCCTTCCCACACCCACAAACATACATACTGGCGAACGGCAGTTCCGCAGGGTAGTCACTACCGCAGCGGCTCGCTTCATCCCGTCCGGAAGTATCGCGGAAGCCCGCCCAAATTTCCCGGCCGAAGCAGCTGTAGTAGCAAATGAGCGTGACCACCTACGCCAGGTCGACCCCGGGGACCCTCGTCTGAGGGACCTTAATTTGGAGATTCGGCAACTGGTACATCAGCATAAGCGGAAAAAGTGGGAGGAGCACTTGAAGGCCTGTCACTTCACATCTGGTGTGAGTAAGCTCTGGTCAATCGTGAGGTCCCTGTCTAACCCAGCGAAGCGTGATGACACAGTGGAAATCTCTTTGGAAGGTCGCGCTTCGTCGGACCCCAAGATATGCGCAGCCTACTTTAGTAGGCAATTCACACTGCACCCTTCGGTAGACAGGGCCAAACGTCGAGTTACCAGGAGGCTGCACAAGCTGCCAAAAAACAGTGCACCACTTGTTTTCACCAGCTGTGAAGTGAAGGGCGCCATCGGGAAGGCGAAAGCCTCCAAAGCCATTGGACCCGACGGAATCTGTATGCTGATGCTAAAACATTTAGGGCCTAAGGGAGTAGCTTACCTAACGGAGGTCCTCAAGCTGTCCATGGCCACTCTCATCATTCCTGATGTGTGGAAATCGGGGAGAGTGGTCCCACTGCTGAAACCGGGGAAGCCCGCCAACAAAGGAGACTTTTATCGCCCGATAACACTCCTTTCCCCGGTCGCGAAGACAGTTGAGGCCCTACTACTCCCATACTTCACCTGCCACCTGACCCCAGCGAAGCACCAGCACGGATTCCGTAAAGTGCACAGCACAACAACAGCACTTAACGCCATAAACACCCAAATAACTCGTGGCCTAAATCGAAACCGCCCCTGTGAGAGAACGGTCCTAGTAGCGCTGGACTTGTCAAAGGCGTTTGACACCGTCTGCCATTCCACGCTACTAGAAGACATCCTCACTCCCACAGGGACTGAAGCGATGGTCGGCGAATTATATGAGTAGTCGACAGTCGTCAATAATCTTCCGAGATCAAACCTCGAAACCAAGAAGGATTAAACAAGGGGTTCCACAAGGTGGTGTTCTCTCCCCCTTACTATCTAACTTCTACATCTCGAAGCTTCCTCAACCACCTGAGGGAGTTTCCCTGATCTCATACGCTGACGATTGCTCGATTTTGGCGTCCGGGAATGGAATTGATGACCTCTGCTCAAAAGTGAACGACTATCTCTCCAGCCTTTCTCGCTTCTTCACTGCAAGGAGCCTAACACTCCCCAACGAAATCAACGGCGATCCTCTTCACCACCTGGACGAAGGAGGTCAGGCTAGAGTTAGGTATACACGTCGATGGCACACCAATACCGACTGTAAACAACCCGAAAATTTTAGGAGTCACCTTTGATAGCCTGCTCTCCTACTCCACGCACACAACCGTAATAAAGTACAGAGCCACAACAAGGTTCTCAAGTCGCTCGCCGGCAGCCCTTAGGGCAAAGACAAAGAAACGTTGCGCGCAACATACAAGGCAATTGGCCGGCCGATTCTAAACTATGCTGCGCCAGTTTGGACGCCGGGGACTAGTTGGACGCAGTGGACAAAGCTACAGACTTGTCAGAACGCCGCACTCCGGACAGCGACTGGGTGCCTTCTGATGACGCCTGAGCACCACCTACACAGCGAGGCCAAGTGCTCCCCGTAAGGGAACACAACAAAATGCTTTGTAAGCAATTTCTGGTGGGGTGTCACAGAAGTGAACACCCAAACAGACCTATTTGTATACATGGACGCAGTCTAATAATACGTAGACCAACCACTGGAGCCGACGACATACAGACGAGCCATCAACGACATTCATAGAGAGTCAGTTACCACCTACCTCGACTCTCGACCTATGAATGCCGTAATAGGAGCCCAATCACCACCTGTAGAAGAGACGGAGCTTCAACTGCCAAGAGAGACCCGCGTTACCCTGGCTCAATTACGGTTTGGATACTGTAGCCGCCTCAACAGATACCTGTCCAGACTCGACCCCAATATCCCCAATGAGTGCCCGGCATGCGGAGAATCCCCCCACGACACCAACCACCTCTTTACATGCCTGCTCAATCCGACTCAGCTAACACCCCTCTCCCTCTGGTCCGAACCCATTGAAACAGCTCGTTACCGGGGCCTTCCGTTAGTTGAGCTTGACGAAAATGATTGAACGTAGACCCGAAAAAAGCGGGACATAGTAATGCCGCTACAACAACCACAACAACAACCACATTGGCACTACTATTTGGTGTTTTTTGCGTTTTTATACCCGAGCGCACTTGTGCACAAGGGTATATTAATTTTGTTCACATAACGGTTGTTTGTAACAGCCAAAACGAATCGAGATAGATATAGACAAATGTATACATAAATGATCAGGATAAAAAAAGAAATCGATTAAGCCATGTCTGTCTGTCCGTCCGTCTGTCCGTCTGTCCGTCTGTCCGTCTGTCCGTCTGTCCGTCTGTCCGTGTACACGATAACTCGAGTAAAAATTGAGATATCTCAACGAAATTTGGTATGTAGGTTTCCCTTAATCCAAGGTAGGTTGCTATTGAAAATGGGCGAAATCGGACTGTAACCACGCCCACTTCCCATATAACGGTAATTTCCAGAAATACGAAAACTGCGATATTTTAGTAACTACTGAAGATAAATCACTCAAAATTGGTATTTACAATAATTTTTTGACAAAAAATAATAATATTATACATTTTTGGAAAATGGGCGTAGCCACGCCCACTTATGGTTACATGTGTATATCTTGGTAACCGCTGTACCAATTTTTACCAAACTTGGCACAGTTGTCGGCCTTCGTACAGCATACAAAATCGCCTAAAATTTTTAAAATCGGACGATAACCACGCCCACATCCCATATAACGGTAATTTAGAGAAATACAAAATCTTCGATAAATCAGTAAATATTGAAGCTAATTTATTCAAAATTGATGCTTGCTACAATTCTTTACCAAGAAATACGTTTGTGATAAATTTTTGGAAAATGGGCGTGGCACCGCCCACTTATGATCACATATATGTATCTCAGTAACCGTTCTACCAATTTGTACCAAACTCGGTGTGGTTATTGTGCTTGCCACATATAAGCAAACCGTTGAAAATTATTGAAATCGGACTAAAATAACGGCCGCTTCTCATATAACGGTAAATTTCAGAACTGCTTGAAACTTCAAAATTTCGAAATCTAAGGACTAATTTACTCAAAATTGATACGCCCCGGCTTACCATATAGCCGTAGCTTTCGGTAAGGCGAAAAACATATGTTTAATACGTGCGCCGGGTATTTAATGTTCGGCTCTGCCCGAACTTAGGCTTTCTTACTTGTTTTTTTTTAAGAATGCGGAAAAAGTAAAATTTATCCTTGACAAGAATAGGTTCAGTACCTAAATCTTCATATTGGGGAGATTTTTAGCAAGTTTCGAAATTAGTTGTTATATTTGTCAACTCGTCGCGTGCTTTAAAGTTATTGGAGAAAAAATACTAAACGAAAATCTACAGATTAAAATCAAAGACTGCAATTTTATAAAAAGAAGGTGGAAGAGCAAAAGTTATGATAAGTAAAAGTGATAAAACCAAAATCATATAAGCAATTGGAAACGATATAAAGGCAAAATGAAATAATTTAGAAAGTTTGGATCCATATGGCCGTATAAGCTGATGTTAAGATGCAATTCGAATTCAGTTGCAATTTTTTCTATGCCAGGTCATAAGAACATAAGCCCCTTTAAATGTCAGTTTTTCATCTTTCTGATATGCTTTACAATCTTATAACCCTTTTGAAAAGCAAGAGTTTTTAAAAGGATTCGGCTTACGATAAAATTATAAGAACTCAGAAGTGTAAACAAAGCAAGCGATAAAATTCATTTTGCTTTTTTTCCGTAACGGTAAATATTTAAAGTCTGTGATTTTGTAGGACGTTGCAACTAGTATTTGTTACCTATTTGCAACAAACAAAAATAGTTTTCGATAATTGGAACGCTTACGATAAAATCGCAATTAGGGGTCGATATGGCTCACCACAAAATGTCTTGATGTTAGATTTATGCACTACCACAGTATATGCACTACATCACAGTAGCATCATAAAAATATATCGCTTTGATTTCAGCATCGCAGTACTGAATTGCAAAGCGATGTTTGGGAAGCCAGTCTTTGTAAGAGTGGTGATTGTCTATTGGGGAATGTCGTTTATGGCTATCTGTACAACTTCGGGTCTGCAGTTGTGTGAAGTAGAGGTCAGAAACCATCAATAGCACTATCGATGGTTTCAGGCTATCGTGTAGGGATGTTGCGAATGTGGGATTTTAGACATCGGCGGATGCGTATGCGCATGCAGATGTCTAAAAACTAACATCCGCGAATGCTAATATCACGTATTTTTAAGTAATAATATAGGTAAGTAAGATATTTTATTTAGTACTTCAATTTAAAAATTGGAGCATTATATTTAATAAAAAAATAATGTTGCTGCCTTTTCCGTTTCCAGCCTGGTAGTTAAAAAGTGTCGGAAATCCATTCTGCACAACTAATTCACCGCTCGCTCGGGACATTTTCTGGTGGAGGCGACAAATATCTGTGTGAAACTTGACAATATTTTAAATTTATATTTATTCTTTTCACTTGAGGAATCTATCATCATGGCAAGATCGCTCCGTGAACACTAGGCTGGATCGATTTTGTATGGGGGAAAATAAAAGGCATTTGACCGTATTGTAATAGTAATATTATGATGTCTTAGGTCTAAGCCAATTGTTATTGGCCAAGAAAGATTAATTTAAAACTTATCTTTAGCCCGCGCAGTTGAATCAAAGTGTTTGAATTTTGAAAATGAAACTTTGGCTTGTAATATCTATGGAATGCGTTAATTGTTATAAACAGGACGACATATCAAATTAAGGGTTATTAAATTAATACCTCCGCTCATAAAGGCTTGTGCACCTCTTCGATTTCTCGCAGAAGGAAGTGCCACAGCAATGACTTCAATTTGGAAAACTTGGTGTGGTTGGAGGTGCTTCAGTTGATAAAGGAAACAATTTGCAATCAGTTTTCGCTTTTGTTTCGCCAAAAGGGCGTACTCCATGGGAACTAAAATTTCAAGTTATTGTTTGGTTATTTTCACCATATTCTGTAACAGCAGACTGCATTGCA